GAAGTAGGCAGGCATCAGATTATAAAGGATTCTGAGGAATTACTTGAGGTCAAGTAGCTCATATTCTATTTGGTAGGCAAATGGAAACCAATGGAAGACCTGGAGCAGAGGAATAGTATGATCAGACACATGCTTCAGGAAGATTAACTTAACATCAGTGGGGATAGATGCAAAGGAAGGAAGACAAAGGGAAGGTGAGAAAACTGATTAGGAGTCTATCACATAGTATAAATAAGAGGTAATGAAAGGAGGAACTGAGCAGTATCAGTGGGAATGGAAAGAAGAGTATGGATGCAAAGAAAAAAAAGAGTACATTGTAAATAGCATTTATGAAAAATATGGAATAAAGCCTTACCTGATTCTTCTGTATCTTGTTCATCTATTAAACCTACTGAGACGCCTAAATCCACACATTTCTTGCTATGTGTCTTGGACTTCATGTGTTTTGTCAGATTTCCTTAAGGGAAAAGAATGTTTACTAAGCTTACATAGTATTATTTTGCTATTGCATTTGTCAACACTGGCAAATTCCATTCCTATTTCAAGTGAAAGTACAGATTGTGGTTATACAATTCCAATGACTAAAATTTGCTCAAAAAATAATACTGGTGTCTATAGGCTGTAATAACCTTGTTACTGGTAATAATCTCTCTCTCTTTCAAATCTGCCTCCTCAACTTTGATAATGTCTACTTTTGCCTATGGTTACTATTCTCTAGTCCCTATTTATTCCTTAGAACATTTTATATACACCTAAAGTCCCTTTCAGATTGCACTATGATCTGTGGTTTCTGAATTCTCCACCAGTTGTGTGCGCTGGCTTTCCCTCATAGTACTTTATTTCCTTGCACATTTTTTAGTTTTTATTGTAAACTTATATTCAGCAAGATTGGTTCCGTGGAGTCTTACGTACCCTGGGTTGTAGACACATCTCTATGGGTCAGCCTTCCAATTGCTTCTGCCTGGGACCTTAACAGTTTCATTACACTAATCCTGGATCAGTTTGTGAGGTTTTTTTGGCATGGCACAGGTATAGGGTTTTGCTTTTTAGCAGGTAGCTTTTCCCCCACATGGTCCAAAGTCACTGGACAGGAGAGCCATGCTTATTTCAGAGGTCTCAGATGCCATTCCAGGACCAGCATTAGACCCCAGGCCCGTGGGCATATATCTGGCAGCATTAAATCCCAGGCCTGTGGGCATATATCTGGCTTGATGTCCCTATGGACTTTTTTTTTTTTAATATCTGTTCACCATTCTAGTTTGGAGTTTCCTTAGTTTTGGCGGCTGGGAGTCTTTCTTTCTAAATTTCAAGCTTGGCTATCTATTTAAAACTACAGTTGGTTGTTGTACTATAAATAGTAGTTCTGTGTGTTTGGAACAAGAGAAAGAATTTCCTACATTAATTTTACTTCACCATACTGACTACAAGTCTCATAATAGTATCCCTAGAGGTGTGTTTCCTCTGGCAGCTGGTGTACACCTCTGGAAGTATCACCAGATTAACTGGGAACCATTGGGCGTGCTGGCCCCAAGTGATCACTAATGCAGGGGGAGAGCTCAAATTCTCGAGGATACCAAGCAGCTTGAGCAGATAATGCCACACACACAAAATTGCCAAGAAGGGAAAATCGTCTCTTTCGAAAATAAAATCTAAATGCTGAGTTTGGCGAGCAGGGCAAATTAGTATTTCAGAATAAACCTTCAGCAGAGCGAAAAATGTTTGAATCATTGGTCCAGATTTGAGTCTACAGTAGCTGAAAGACCTGCAAAATTGCACTATTTATAGAGCCTCACCTTCACTAAAATTGCACGAAGCCCGTGGGACTGGTCACACCTGTTTAGGCCAATTCTTGCACTAGTTAGTATGCACAGCAGCCCAGAGCTTAGCGCTCAAGGGGTTCCAGTGTAAGAGAGGCCCGGACCAGGAAATGTCTAAGATCCAGCAAACCTTGACCTCTGTGATTCTACAGGTAACGCCCGGCTTAAATGACTTGGCCGTGTCTGACATTTACCTTAAATGCACTTTAAAAGTAAACTATGAAGCAAATACGGCAAATTATTAACAATTATTAAAACGTGATGGGCATACTGGTGTTCATTATGCAAATATCTACTTTTCTGTATGCTTCAAAATTTTCACATTAGAAGTTATGAAAAATAGTTTTCCCATCTTATTGTAGCTGAAATTTCCACTTATTAGTCAAAACACTTTCTAGTATGATGACAATATTATAAACCAAATCACAAGGTCCGCTAATAGTGCTTTCAAAATGCTTTTGTTCCCTAAACAGACAGCCATGGAGGTCACTTGCTTTCTGAGAAGTTAATGTATAATGGTAACTAGGCAAATTTGGGAATATGAGTTTTTAATAAGCATATTTTCTCATAACTTGGGCTATTACTTATTATTAACCAACTTCTTAAGTAATTTAAAATAAAACAATTTGCATTTCAATATGCAAAGTATGTACATTCAAATGCAAATATCCCCTAGCAAGGCTGTGCATTAACTTAACAGATAAATTTTTCAACAGACTTAATAAACATTAATATAAATCCTCTGGAAAGCATGAAAGATTTTGTTTCTGGGTTCCTATAGCTATATATAAAGTCCAGCTTTCTGTGATATAAATGGAACTAAATCCTGCAGAGATGCAAGCTCACTGACGGAGCTGACTGACCTTTAAAGCAGAATAGTGAAAACAAACCAATTAAAATTATTTTGAAAATGCAGTCATAAAACAAACCGAGAGGACAAATGATGAAGTACAGATTTATGAGCATTACCATCAGAAGCATCAATTTCTAGGAGGGGAGATCATTCCTTTGATAGTACCATGCTATCTTTGCATACTCCTATTTATATAGCATGCCATTACATCACTATTACCTTCTGTTAATAACCAGACACATTCAAGAATGGGACAACAAAGTAAATCAGAGTAGGGCAAAATTTACAGCCTAATCTAAAAACAAGTCTTTTATTATTTAGCTACCTTTACAAGGTACTATGGAATCTGTTTGACATATATTCATAAACGGTAGACTTCTACAAGGAAGCGACCATAAAAAAGAGAACTGCCATGCCGAGAATAGGGAAATACTGAATTTCTAATATTTTCTTCACCAGTCTGCTTAGCTAGGGTAGCTTTCTTCAAATAAATATTTATCACATAATTCCAATGAATTATCTGACAAAACAAAAAAGTTAATGTAAATTCAGGTATCCAGCATATTTGAGAAATGAAAGACATGAAAACTGCTAACATATACTGCTCACTCTTCAAAGATCATTATGCCCTGTCCACCATTTAACAAACATTTATCTAATATTTTACATGATGTTGGCTTGAGTTATTTCATTAGGATTAACACTTGATGATTCATAATATTTTTCTTTGCCAAGAAATCTCTGTAGTTTCATTTGTTTTCCACATCAAAGTTTTCCTTCCTTTCTTTGCCCTTACTTTATAAAATTTCCTGATTCCTTTTCCTCCTTCTTTTGAGAAACACCCATTTCACATTATACCTGGATCCTCTTTTATGTGGTTTGGTTAACATCATTCTGTAACTGGTAATGTTTTATTTGTAATATTGGCTCCTGGTCTCACACTGGAAATTATTCAACAGACGGACTTTTCTTAATCATAGGATCAACACCAGTGTAAAAGCAGTAAGTTGGGTTAAAAGATCAAAGCACTTAATCCTATCAAAGCCTTCACACAAGATCAGGAAAATCATCCTGAAATGCACCCTCCGTTTCCAGAAGAAGGTTCTATACCACAACCTAAGAATGACAGAATTAGGGTTCCTTCTGACTTATGATTTCTTGAAACTTTAGAAATATTCAAGGCTACCTGAAGAACGGTTTTGTTTTTTCCCCCATCATTCTTGTTTCAGATTTTACTGGCATTTAAGGAGAGCTAATTTGAAGCTATTTAGTTGCTACATACTCTTTAAATGCCAATAAATACTGGCCAAAATATAGAATAAATTTTGCTAAAGAGTTGATCAATTTTTAAAACAAAAACTGCAAAGACAACCAATATAATCAGAAAAAAAAGCAAATGTTAACTGAAAAGGTATAAAAATAATATAGTTCTATTAAAAAATATTGATTAAATATTTTTCACAGATTTTGTCCTTTCAGACAAATAATTTTATGATTATATTGCTTTGTATTTGCGAGATTCTTACTTTCTAAAGGGTGGTATATGAAATTAAAGTCTCAAGCAAGAAATGTTTGTATAATGATTCATAACAAGGAACCTAATGGAGAAAGCAAACATTTTATGATAGTGTATTTATTCATTATATGTCACAGGAAATTTGTAGAGAGTAAAATTACCTTAACTATAATAAAGGCTTACAATTTAAATAAAAACATATAAAGAATACAGAAATGGTACTAAATATAATTTTAATTACTAGTTCTGAGTTCCACAAACATTAAATAGTACAAAATTTAGAAATTTTTTGAAGCTGATATTCAACAGTACTTCAGTAAAAGAGCTTCATGGGAAAGAAAAAGAAATGGCTATGCATGAGTAAAATTAGATAATAAAACATGAATGTAATCAGTATAACTTTACTGCAGTTACTATTTTAATTTTTTCTTTAATCTTTTAGCACTGAAATGCATCTAAAATGTGATCGTGAAAATTTCTTTTTTCTTCTTTAGCTCCAAAGTAAGTATTTTTGAAAACGTGTTAGTCATCATGTTATACAACTCTAATTTGGGAAGTAAAAGAAAAAAGGGCAGTTGCTCCTTTTCAAATGTCATATTTATTACGTATATTCTAAAAGTGTGTAATTTAAAACTTTTTCTCAAGAGGTCTAGAAATATCTAAAGAGATATAAGACTACGATGTTGACAAGATGTAATTTATATTATTCTATTTAAGCTACTGCATCCTTGGTCAAGGAATATGTAAAGTTGGGTCTTAGGTCTACTAACTCAATGCATATAATAAAGGACCATGAAGCGATGTCATCTCATACCTTTAGTCTTAAAGGAGAAGTTACAGTAAGTGCAGTGGTAGGGGCGGACATCTGTATGGGTTCGTATGTGTTTCTTTAACATACTAGGTTTCTTACAACGGATTCCGCATTCTTCACAAATGTACTTTCCTCTTCCCCTGCCTCGGACATATACATACTCTTCATTTGATTTGTATCTAATTTAAAGAAAAGGAAAATGAATAGGGCAACTGGATACTATGCCTTTGAGAAAATACTGATGATTGAAATTCAACCTAAAAAATAAAACAAGGCACAATTTTTACACTCAATAAATATAAATGTTATGCACATGTAAGTAACAGAATATTCCAGCTTTTCACATCAACACAATATTCTAATAGCTACTTCTTATCAAACAACTTTATTCAATACCAGGTTTGATTTTAAAATGGCTCCTCTAAGTGACTGCTCTAAAAGTTTCCTTTATTGTTAAATTCAATCACAGCTACAAGTACTGAAATATTTCTGAGCTTCATTTTAACTACAGTTGGCTTTTACAATTTTTCTCACAACCGAATTCACAGAAGACATCAAACAGGCAATGATTCGTCTCTTTTAGAGCAGATTTTTTCAGTTCACTCCTTACTATGAAGCAACGTGAAACCCAGGGTTCACTCTGAAAACTCAGTGCTCTGCTGCCTCCTAGAACCTACAGTGTTTTCTAAATAGTTGTCATTTTCTTGATCAAAATGGCATTAGTTAACGTAATACCTAACATGTATTTTGCCATGAAGATTCTGTTAATAAGCTGAGAAACCTTGCAACGGTTATATAAAATCGGCACTGGTAAGTCTTCATTCACATGAAAGCAAATGTACATTTAAAAAGTAAGTTTAAATGTACATTTAAGAAGGAAAAGTTGTACTTGCCCTCCATCAAATATTTTAATTCTTCTTGGTTCACTTTTGATTAAGGAATTTTCTTTATCTTGCTCACTGTTAATTTCAGAGGCATCTTTATTGCTGAATTCAACTACTGTGGACTTTTGATTACCTAATGCTCTCTGAAAGGGAAAAAAAAAAAGAGAGAGAGAGAGACACTAATTTAATAAAACTGAAAACACAAACATGCTAGTGTTTCACTTGGAAATTAAAACATGGCCGAGTACAGTGCATGCGGTTAGCTTAATGGAAGGCATTTCAAGGATGTAACAGCTTTAAAGGTCATCGCTTTATCTCCTCCTTTATCTGTCTGAATCACAGCAAACTGACACAGCTCTTGCTACTTTAAAATCCCACCACATTCCACTGACACCCCCAAATAAAGACTCTACAACCCTCCACCCTGGTATTCCACGAGTTTAATTTTAGGAATTTGTTTTAGTAAACTAAATATTCTTTCTTATAGCTAACGAACCACTCAGACTACAGTTTAAGTATACTTGTTAAAGAGTTTATTATTTAAAGATGGAAAAGAGCTAGCTACCCCATTATGGTACAATGTCTCATACTCCTGAGAAACATGACTAACTTCCCTTCAACATCAATGCAGTGTAAAGCTAGAGCCGAAGCTCCATTTCCCAGTATTTTATTTTCCCGTCTCCCATCATTTTGAACCATAATTACGTTTCCTCTCTATATACTGAATATATCAAAAGTTCCTGAATACTGATAACTGTGAATTATAGAGCAGGTCAAAAGTTAGGTCTTGGCCTGATAATACTAAAATCTCTAGGAAAAAAGTAGTGAACATCAGAATAATAAACAGTGTGTGCTTTTCCTACGGAAACTCTGTAGTGACGCGACCTTATGATTTTATACAACCGCACTATTTACTACCTCTTTTCTCACTCCCCAGCCTACTCTGCTCTCACATATCCTTGTGAGGCAGCCAGCACTGGTGGATCACATCCCAGTGAGGAAGGACACGCGTAGGGTTAAGTCACTTTGTCCAACGTCAAGTGTTAACAGCAAGAGCTCAAACTCCAGTCCTCTGGCCAAGCCCAACACAAGGCACAACTTTTCTGATCAAGGTCCTCTTTGTTACAAACTTCCTTTAAAAATTACACCACCAAGTAGAAAGCTATCATACTGCGATGACATAACAACAGTAAGTGACAAGAGAGTATGTGCATCATGGACCCAGGGGCCTATGTGGCCTCGGGAAGAACCCCCTGGGAAGGCCCTGTCCTTACAAACCCAGGCGTAAAGAAAAGCTGCTGGCCTGAGTGTCTCAAAAAGGTGGTGTGAAGAGGTAATGACACTGACCCTGACATGTACAAGTGCAACTGTCTCCTCTTTTTCTGGCAAACACATCAGGTTTGGAATACACACATACCTTTCCTTGACATTATACCTCTAACAGTAATCCTATTTCTTACCTTCTTCTCAGTACCAAATTCCCACTTATCTTTTGCTCACTTTCTTGCTATCAAATCTGACTTCTATTCACCAACAAGCTAAATGCCAAAATATTTACTACTTCCTTAGTTTATATGTTTGACCGCTCTATACACTGTATGTTGTCGACACCTTGCTTCTCTTAGAAATGCTTTCACTTTACCATCGACCTGTTCTCTTCCATTTTGAATTATAAATACATGCACATTTGGGTTGTGAGTTAACAGTCAACCCAGTACCGAGTCCTCCACGGCCACTTGCCCATATAACTCACGTCTCTGGGACATTAGAACCCTTCAGTCCAGAAACCATGTTAGTCTTCATCTTTGTTTGGCCTCTTGGCTTGAACAACTCTCTTTAAAATATCTTCTTCCTTGATCTGTGTGATACCACTTTCTCGTAGTCCCCCTCCTTCCTTTATGAACAATCTCTCTCATCTCCTATGTGGACTTTCTTCATCCACTCAAGCCTTTGAGTAGTAGGGATCTCGGGATCCATTCCAGGCCCTTCTCTCTAAAGGCCTCATTAATTGCACCTATGCACTGAACGATCTCTACACCTTCCGCCCGGAGCTCTCTCCCAGCTCCAAATCCAGATGTGCATTCCCCAAGGCATTTCTACCAAGGCACTTGGTACTGAAGGAGAGCCACTTTTCATAGGTACTTCAGGGACATACATACACGAAGCGCTGTTTAAATTCTCACGCTCAAGCCTCATTTTCCATCTGACTTAGTAGACGTAGAGCCTGAGCATTTAACAATTAAATTCTGAATGGTTCGGATGCACCCTCCTCCGCTGAGAAAGCATCAAAGGCTCTCTACCACCACGCGTATTCTTGGGTCTTTATCTACATTTCCAACTTCAAATTACGTCAGTGTTTCAAACTTCCAACACCTTCTAGCCATGTTGGACTCCTCGGGGCTCTTTAAATGAACTAAGTTCATTCTCACTTCCACATCACTTGGCAGACTATTAAAATTTCTCACTCTTGTTTGCCTGAAAAAAAAAAAAAATCCCTACTTTTTTTTTTTTCTTTTTTAAAGACTCAGCTGAAGTATCACCACCTTTGGAATATCTTCCGTGTAACCACACCTCCTGCTCAAGCTACTGGCAGTGTTAGAGACTTCCTTCTTTTATTAAAGTTATGGGTACTTCTATTACCATACTGATCCTGTGATATTTTCTTATTGATAAATAAATATTTATGAACCTGTATTATGTGCTTGTGAGCCTATAGAGATCATGAACTTAATCTATAATTCTGAATGTCCAGAGTCCAACCTAATACCCTTATCTATTTATTCTTAATCATTTAAGTGATTTTCCCCATTTTATAAAGCCAACAACTCTAATTATAGTTTTATTCCACAAATAACCCCAAATCATCGTTTTACGACCTTACTGTACAAATCCTGACCAAACCAACTTAATTATCAAGTGTACAGTCATTTTGTGAACCTTCTCTCTAGTACTAAGATGATTCTCAGAGCTACACAGGAAGAGAGTTGGGATCAGCACGGTGAGGGGAGAGTGGTCAGATTTGCATAAAACAAGGATGAATGGGTCTCTGCTTACATTTTTAAATGAAATAGAACAATCTCTAATATCCACACCTCTGTTCCCCTTCATTAGCAGGGATAAAGCATAAACATAATCTTCTCTCACCTAACAAGAAAATCAAACCTTAGACGACTCTGGGTAATCTTTATCAGTATAACTCCCTGGGTAAACTTATCATTCTTTCTTTCAAATAACTGTACACTTCAAAAGCACAATTTGTCATTCAAAATTAAAATACAACCTCCCATCGAAATCTTTAAAGGCATCCAGACATGTTGGAACTAACTCGCACAGACTAGTTTTCAAGATAAATGATATTTCAAGTACCTTGCTTAAGCTGCTTTTCCATTTGCTTGAATAGACCAATAAATCTGACTTGAAATGGGTCGTTATTGCTTGACAATATAGAGATTTTCCGGTCTTCTGTTTTGAGTTCAGGAGAGAAAGAGCCACTTTGGTAGGCAAGCTGAGTGGATTTGGATCACTGGCGTTCACGGTCCAATCGGTGTAGGCCGAAGTTTTTTGGTCGTTCTGGGGCAGGTGCAGGGCCTTCTGCCTCAACAGGTAACACCACGTGAAGCTGGTTGCAGTCTTCAGGCTGGGAAAGGACGGCTGCTGTGTGTCACTGGCTTTACATGCGGAAGGAGTGGTGGCTGCTGGCGGACTCTGTTCCTGGACGTTCGCTTCGTCGCCTGGAGTTTTAACCCCTGGTGACTTCCTTTCTTGGTTATTGTCTACATGTTCCGAAGAAGAAACGTGAGTTTTCTCTGCAGGGACAGCTGAATTTCTAACTGTCAGAGTCAGCGATGTGGCCGACGGGATGCTTTCAAATTCCTGCAATTCTTTTACAGGTTCTATAACCACAGGCTTGGAGTGTCCTGATGACAAATTATCAGCTGGTGAAACATCAGTCAAACGCAGAGCCTCACTACTCACTTCAGGGTGAGAAAAAATATCCTGTTCCAATATCGCAGCTTCAAGGGGCTCCGTAGTGCAAACCTGCCTCACCAGGACTGGCTTCTTCTGTTTACTGACTTCATGAGCCCTTGAGCTCAATGCTTCCAACTGTCTAGTATCTGTGGCACAAACGGCTCCATTTTCATCCTTGGCCCGCTTCTGGTGCTTTTCCATGGCAATGTCTAAACTATTTGCTGGGGACAGCATCCTTTTACTTGAAGCTGAAGATTCTTGCTGGGGGGAGAGTCTACCAACAGACGTTTTCTGAGTTACAGGCAAGGATTCTGATGCAGACGAATTTTGGCCCATCTCTGAAATAACGTTCTCGCAGACAAGTTCTCCCTCTGGGTTTGGCAAAGCATTCCGGTGAGCGTATTGCGACTTTGGCACGGAATTTTGCTCTTCGATGATTGGCACCATACTATGATTAGCCTGGCCAATCGGCTGACTGGATAGATCCTGGGTCACTAGGATCTGCGGCAGAGCTGCGGCTGTGGCGAAACAGTACGCTGGGACCCGACTCTGCAGATGCAAGGGCAGCGCAAAGGACGCCGGCACCTTCGGCACCTGACTGCCGAGAGGCCCGACCTTCAGTGGTGGCAGAGGACACGAATTAGACGTGGCTTCTACTAACTTGGCTGGTAATGTCAACGAGGTCGCACGATGGTTGGCCCCAGCTGGGTCTGAAAGAACTTGCTTTGGTAGAGGATGTACAGCGTTAGAAGTGCAAGGCTGGGTCGAAGGGACCACCTGACACTGAAGTTGGTACTTGGGAGCAAAGCAGTCCTCACTTTTAGAAGATACATGCCCACCGGGGCTTGCATCTGCTTTGACACTCTGTGTAGACACCTGCAGAGACATCTGTGTGTCTGGGAGGCTAAGGGGCACGTGGATTTGATTTAACAAGTGGATACCAAGAAGCTGTTGAACAGGAAAGATGTTTGGAGAGTTGGAACTTGAAGTTTCTGCTCGCAGATCCTTAATCTGAGTCTGTGAGTCCAAAGTATTTGCAGGAAACTCAGGTGAAGGTGCATGAGTGAGCTGAGGCCCCTGAAATGGCACTGTGTTCACACCAGGGCGAGCGATAGTTTGGAAAGAGGATGGGTTCCCAGGAGATAGATGACCCTCCGGAGTGATGTTTAAAGAGATCTGCCGTATCAGCGGGCCTCTCCGTCTTTCCAAGAGAGGCACGTGCCCGGCGACCCCCGTGCCAGAAGGGGATGTCGGAGGCTGCAGTTCAGCAAGCGGGGCTGGCTGAGGTGGAGTAATGCTTCCACAGTCGAATGATTTACTTCTGAAATCAGAGACCTCCATCGACATCTGCAGGCAGTGAATCTGTTCCGATGCAGCGCGCCTCATTTCCCGGTGACTCCCAGGAACGTTCAGGGTATTAGAGCCAGGTGGAATCATGAGAAACTCCGCTTTATTCGGAAAATCGATTTTGGGGGAGGCCTCAGTCTTAGAAACGTCCTCTACGTCTAAGGAAGCAGAGAAACTCGAAGTGTGAGATAAACTGCTCTCCCTGCTTAGACTCCTGGAGAGAGTGGAGTCCAGGCTTGACTCGGTTGAGGAGTGCTCGATCTCGGCAAGACGGAGCCGCTTCTTTTTGGGTGGCAGTTTCTCTGTTGGCAGTTTGGACAAGGTTTCGCTCCGCTGAGGCCAACTGAACTTCTCAGACTTCTCCTGATCGTGGCCTTGGCCTTCCGGGTCCCGATCTGGCTCTTCTGTGACCAGGATTTCTGGGACTTGGATGTTGTGCTGCCGAACGAGTCTTGAGGGCTGCCCTAACACGTGTCGCTCACCTGAGATCTTTCTGGAACCTTCCTGAAGTTCCCCTCTCAGAGCATCGGACAGTGCAGGCTCGGCGGGCTGAGACGTGTTCCGGGGCAGGCGGCCTTCCTCTTGGGAAATCCCTCTTATGTGCAGAGACCCGGGCTTCCCTGTTCTCAGCTCCTGGAAAGAAATGGGGGAAGTGCCTTCACAAGACTCCAGCTTGTCAAGCGCACCGGGTCTGCCCAGCGAGTTTGTGTGCTGGATGACGGAGATGCCGGCCCCGTGTCTCTTGGGCTCTGTCCTGTCCTGGGCAGCCGAGCTCACCTGCTCTTCCACGACGGAGGACGGCTTCGGGTCCGGGGGCTGTTCGGGGCCTCTGGCCACGAGCTGAATCGGGGAGCTTTGCAGCTGGATATTTCTAGGCGGCTGGTCACCAGTTATGGCAACGTTCTGCTGAGACAAACTGGGACCCGAGCCCCTCGCGCTCTGAAACCGGAGGCCCTCGGAGCTCTGGGGAGATGCTCCACTTTCGTTTTGCTGAAGTTCGTCGTCATCTCCGACGCTTTTCATTTTCCTCCTTTTTCGTATCTGGGGCGTCTGCTCCCAGACCCCGGTGGCACTGGCGACCCTGTAGTGCAGAATGGGAGGCTGTGTGCCGCTGGGCACCAGGCTGTGCTCGGGGTCCCTCAGAGCTACCTTGGTTTTTGGTCCGTGCAACTCTGAACAGTAAAATTTCTTATGGTTTTCAAAATTTTCCAGTTTCCTATACCTGTTTCTACAGGTCTCACACTCAAACATGGTCCCTCGCCCCTGATGAGACTTCTTCTTTTCCAAGTGTGAACCCGGGGCCGGGGGCTTGCTTCTTGCTGCTGTGGTCTCACCAGCGGGGCTGCCTCCGTGATGGCTCTCGTCCAAGGACTGCCCGGCACCCAGAACATGATTTTCATTTGCTGAGGAGTCTTCTACTGCTGCTTGTCTGACAAGAGTGCGGGGATGTCCATTTTGGGGCACAGAAGTGTTAGGCCCTGGTACGAAGACATCGTCGTAGAAAGCACCAATTTTGTCGTCAAAGGACTGACTTCCTCTCAGTGGGTGTGGGGGAGGGATGATGCTCGCAGGTACTGCTGAGTACCCTGTGGTAGGCATAGAATTACTTCTGGTGATGGGCAGACAGTCGAGGGAAGGTACAGACAGAAGAAACACTTGCTTTGATTTCTCTGTGGGAGTGAAAGGGGACTTTGGTATATCAGAGCTTGAACTTGTTCTCCGTCCCATTGGTTTTAAATCAAACTGGAAAGAATCCTTAAATATGTACGATTTGGGGGAATCGATGCTTCCCCGTCGTGAGAGAGAGGTTCTCCGTGGCTTTACACTATCCAGTTGCTTGTCATCTACCAAGGCTTCGTTGTCTGAGATAAGCTTTGATATCCGTTCCTCGAGCGTTTTTGTCGCCAAAGGTGGGCGCATCTGACCTGGGAGGAGTGACGCTTTTTCACCTGCTGGAAGAGCCGAAGCTGCTGGTGTGCTGACACGAGGTGCAGAAGACCCATTATTCTTGTTAGAGTCCTGCTCTGGGGCGGGCAACGTTCTGGCAAAGGGGGTGGGTGGGCTCACTGTTTGGTCGGCACTCTCAGAACGTGAAAAGTAACCCGAGTCCGTACTTCCTAAACTGCGAGGACTCAGGAGAAGTTTGCCTTGCTGCTCTCGGGAGTAATCGGTGGCCTGCTGCCTTTGGAGCTGGGCATGTACCGTTCCCACGTGAGATTCCTGTTTTCCCTCGGGCTGACTCACATCGCCCTTCTCATGGGACTTGTCATCCATCTCCAGGGAGCACGCCCAGGCTGAGTGGGACAGTATACCGGTTACCTGAAGGTCCTTCTGTTTCTGTGCACTAGGAGGTTCAGGCTTGGAATCCGTAACCTTCGGGCTGTCAGCTCTTAAAGGGGACACACTGATGGGGTGGACCACAACCTTGGGTAACTCTGTCACAGCCTGTGCTTCTGAAAATCTGTCCTGTAGTGAAAAGTCACCTACCACAGGATCTGGATTGCTTGGAATGGAATCCAGTTTAGGTAAAGCTTCCGAGCTGGATACCATCTTCATTATCTGCACGGGCTGCAGGTCCATGGAGCCCGGGTCGTTCTGCCTGTCGTCAGCAGCACCCTCCTCCTCGCTCTCCCCACTGTCTTCCACATCCGAATGGATACTAAGTGCTTTGGGGGACTCGTGAGACACGAACAATCCGCCAGCATCTGGCTGCAAGACGAGACCCAGTTTGATAGTATGTGCATGGGACTTTTTGTGCTTGTAGAGGTTACTTTTAGTCTTAAATGAAAACCCGCAGGTCACGCAGGGATAGGGTCGCTCTCCAGTGTGGGAGCGGATGTGCTTTAAAAGCACACTGGGCTTTGCACAGGCTCGATTGCAATACTCACAGATGTATTTTCCTTGTTTTTTTGGCTTCTGATCTTTCAGAAGAAGATTGCACATTTGTTCCACGCTGTGATTAACAACAGAGGCGACAGGAGTTGAGTTGTAAATTGGCGTGGGGGGTGACCGCGTGGAAAGGGCGGGGCTCACTGACAGCGGCAAGGCAGCATCCACTTGCTGGTTTGGAGGAGAAACCTGAGTTCTACTGGAGGGTGACGTCACACCTACGGATGACATCACTGCTGCGTTACAGACGTGTTCAAGTTGGGCGTTCTCCTGATTCTGCAGACTCGTGAGTGATCTGGTGAAACCCGAACACGCTGGAAGCTGCTGATTTTGTTGGCCAGGTTTAGAAACAGAGTGTTCGCGTGGATTATACGAAGGAGAAACGGCCTGAAGTGCCGCTTGGTCATTCTTCTGAGCGGCAGACACGTGCCCGGCGTATGAGGTCCGAGGAGGCGGCTGTGATTGGGCAGCCGGTTCTTGCGGGGTCAGATCGGGGGCATCCATCGGGCTGTTGTTCAGGTGAGAAGGGGGTCGTACAGTTTTATTTGGTCTCAGTTTTTCGCTCTTAACCGCACAAGAGGAGCCCTTTTGCGACAAGGTGCTCAGTTCTGGCTCCATGGCCTTCAGTAAGACATCGAACGCGGTGTTTGCATACGAGGAGGGCGGGGGGCTGCAGTGAGAGGAGATACATTCACGGTGGTCAGTCCTGCTTTTACTGGACAGAGAACTGGAGTCACATTTTCCCTCGGGGACACCGGGCTTGGCGGGGTCGGAGCCCTCCGACCTCCACCGGCGCGGCTCGGATGGGGGCTGCAGAAACGAGGGCTTCTTCGGGGAGACAGCCTCTTGCAATTTAGAGACCTCGGCAATTAGCCCAGGGGCTTCTCCATTGTGTTTGGTAAACTGCTTCCCGTTTTTCACAGGACTGTGATTCTGCTTCTTGTGGGACTCCGCCACACTCTGAAGAATGGCAAAAGATGACTCTTCTGTATTTTGTTTGTGTTTTGCCTGAAGAGGATTTCTCAGTGGGGATTTTGGTATTTTTTTCAGGTGATTCTCGGCTACAATCTTTTTTCGTTTCACACCTTTAAGTGATTCTGAAGTTCCTTTAATACCAGCCTCTAAGATTTCTGTTCAAAGAAGAAAAAAGAAAACCAATTGGTAAAATGGTATGTACACCAACTATGATGTTTTTAGGTTAACATTTCGATCACAAGGGTGTTATGACAACTGAAGAAGGCAATTTAAAGGAAAGCCGGTTTGGATAAAACTGCATTCCTACATTCTGGCAATATTAAGAAGGCTGGCCATCAACATCTGTTGAAACAATCATGCGAAGACCTTAGTGCACATTTCTAGAAGGCTGTGTTCCGTTCTTGACCCCCTATCTCACCACAGTCCTGGAACCTGATGTTTCAAAACTAAATTATCCTCCCCCTTCACCCTTGCAGCTGAGGACCCTACACAATAGTCTTAAGAGAGCTGGCCCACAAAGAAGAAAATTCAACCTTTAATGCTGGGTATTTGTCTTATCACATTTAGTATCTTTTTTTTTTTGCGGTATGCGGGCCTCTCACTGCTGTGGCCTCTCCCATTGCGGAGCACAGGCTCCGGACGCGCAGGCCCAGTGGCCACGGCTCACGGGCCCAGCCGCTCTGCGGCATGTGGGATCTTCCCGGACCGGGGCACGAACCCCTGTCCCCTGCATCGGCAGGCGGACTCTCAACCACTGCGCCACCAGGGAAGCCCTAGTATCTCTTAAAGCAAACTTCTCAGCAAGTTTCTACATAACAGTATTGCTCCAAAATAGGCAATACTGATATTCTTACGAGAACAAAGGTTACTATACAATAATTTTTAGACACAGATACCTCAGATGATCATGGGATATTCACTGATAGAACCCTGAAGAATTGCTAAATAGCAGTTATATCAATAAACAGAAAAATATGAAAGTAAAATAATATACTTACTTGTGGTTCTTCACCAACACAATTTTAAAGTCCTAATGTTGTAATGGCCCTTAGTTTTAAAATAAAAATCACCATTTTAATTGAACAAAATATTCAATGGCTATGTTTCTTTGCCACTAATGATAGGTGAGTAGGTAGACAGACAGAACTTATAACAGGAGAGAAGAGATGAAACTACCTCCATTTCTTGCTGTGTTGAAATAAATCACCATTTAAATGGCATCAACCACCACAATCTCTGTCAAGTATTGTAGTTTTGAGCAGTAACTGCTTTTGCCATAATTTCGTTTGTTTTGATTTGTTGGATCCTCGGGCACGTAAACAAAAATTATTCAAGCTGATATTACTTACTTGCAGAAAAGCCAAATACTCTAATTCCTCATTATTTTCAAATAGCTGTTACAATGTACCTATTAAAAATTCATATTAGACCAAAATGTCTATACCAAAATAACCGCTTTGCATTAACAGAAGAATTTACATAAAATAAAATATTCTGGTCATCTTGTGACGTCAGTTTATGTGATTTCATGTATTAATTTAATTAAAAATTGCATACTAATCCACTAAAGATACATTTACCCACCATAATCAGAAGGGCAAATAAAAGGGTGGGCGGGGTGTCTCATGATGAAACTATTTGAGCTAAAGAAAAATAGAAAAAAAAGTATCATATTGTTGATACCTCTACAAAATGATGTTGAGCAAACCTTTTTTATTCTTCAACCCACTCATTTATAAAATGATGTTTGCCCAGTGGTTTTCCCTCTTCAGGATGAATGCAATAAAGTCGGTGATGTACTTTATGCCTCTCGTTAACTATACAAGAAAGCAGGCAAAACGAAAAATGATGATCAGCGTCTCGGGTGCTTAGTTTCCCTACTCACTTCCCGGGAGCTCGGAGGTGGGTTGAAACAAAAGTGAGAGCCACTAGGCTGTTAAAATAAATACAAAAGCAGAGCCCAGCAGCCACCTGGGGGAACGGCAGTTCCCAACTCAGGCAACTGTCAGAGCAGAAACACAAGAGATTTTTAAAAAATCTGCCCATGCCAAGCCCAACCACCACCCTATGCAACCAGAGCCTTGGGTGGGGTAGATAGGTTTATTTTGTTATGTTTTACATACTTTCTGTAATAAGATTTTATTTTTAGGTAAAGTTATGTGTAAAAAAAAAAAAAAAATTAAACAATGGCTTACACTCCAAAGAAAAAAATGCAAAAATTCAACCCACAGCTAAAACCAGAAATACCACATTAAGTTTTTTTTTTTGAGAAGATGTTGTGGGTAGGAGTTAATTAATTAATTTATTTATTTTTGGCTATGTTGGGTCTTCGTTTCTGTGCGAGGGCTTTCTCTAGTTGTGGCAAGTGGGGGCCACTCTTCATCACGGTGCGCGGGCCTCTCACTATCGCGGCCTCTCTTGTTGCGGAGCACAGGCTCCAGACGCGCAGGCTCAGTAGTTGTGGCTCACGGGCCTAGTTGCTCTGCGGCATGTGGGATCTTCCTGGACCAGGGCTCGAACCCATGTCCCCTGCATTAGCAGGCAGATTCTCAACCACTGCACCACCAGGGAAACCCTACATTAAGTTTTAAAGGGAACATTCTATGTATTTTTTTTTGTTTTAAGAAGTACAATTCAACTTTGTACTTAAAGAAAATGAAGCTGAAGTGAAAAGAAAGGAATGACTTAAGATCCCTATTTCTTTATAGACATAATTCCTCTAAAGTTAAGAATTTGAAAAAACGCATTTTAAGCAGATTTTACGCACCATGTTTCAATCTTAGATGAAGACGGACTCATCTCTCTTTGATGAATGTTTATAACATTTACATTCTATTTGCATAGTTGTCTACCCTTCGTTCTCTATTTGAATTTTAAGACCTGGTGCTAATATACCACTTCTTTCCTTCAAAACTTTGCACACTCCTTTGCTTTCTGGCAATGAAGCTTGTAGAGAGAAGCCTGCTGCCAGCCTGACTGGTAGTTTCTCCTCCTTGAGGTGACTTGCCTTTTTTCTGCCAGCGTATCTGCAAAAACCTTTATTTTCAAAGTCTAATAACATCACTAGAAGTCAGCTCAGAGTTTACCACTGTACAACGTTTCATTTTTTTCCTGGAACACAATGACCTCTAAAAGAAAATTCATTTAGTTTATTTCAGGAAAATTTTCTTTTATTATTTCTTCAAATACATTTTCTGGCCAATTGTTTTCTTTGGGGTTGGCTCTTTTACTTTACTGACATCAATTGTCTTTATGGGGTTTCCCTGGTGGCGCAGTGGTTAAGAATCCACCTGCCAATCCAGGGGACACGGGTTCGAGCCCTGGTCTGGGAAGATGCCACATGCCGCGAAGCAATTAAGCCCGCACACCTAGAGCCCAGTAGCCCCCACTCGCCGAAACTAGAGAAAGACCGCGTGCAGCAACGGAGACCCAACGTAGGCAAAAAAAAAATGACCTTTGTGCAGGACCACCCTTATGATGATCTAAATCTCTTCAATCTTTTTGTTTTTCTCCTTCGCTCTTTCTAGAATTATCTAACGTTTCTTCCCTTACATCAGTAATTTGATTTTCAGGCCATTAAATTCCTTGCTGTTTCAAATTCGTGTATTGGTTTTGGACTGACGTTGCTTTGTTCTCATTTTGTTCCCTAAGTTCCACATTGCCCATATCATCTCCTTTTACTGTCTCATATTATATTTGAACTGTTGCTTTAATAAATTTATGTTCTTATTAAGTTCAATGCTTAAAAAAAAAGCTTCTGTTTCTGAATCAATGTTTCCTTTAAGGCTGAGTTTCTGGTCTGTCTTTTCACATTCTCTTCATCACATCAGGCTTTTCTATTGCCTGAGATCATGGGGCATCACAGGGAGTGGCATTCAATGGAGAATATGTTCCCAACAGTGTTTTTCTGAGTTGTGTTCGCTCTTCTAAGATTTGTTGGATCTCCTTTACCAGGGTTCACTCCCCTCATTCAAGGGGTAACGTCCACTCCATCATGGGTGGTTGAAAGGGGATGACCTTCGATGCTGGATTAGTCTCTACAGGCAAGGAGCTTGTTGTTGCTGTTGCTGCTATCAGGAGGGGAGAGGGTGGTGGAGCAGATGAGACCGATGTAAAGAGGGAAGGTGCCAGGCACATCTGAGGTGAATCCCACGTTATTATTCTAGAGGTGGAATTAAGGCAAGTTGCATGGGATCGTTACTCTCCATCCCTTGGCTGGAGTGCACAGAGTGAATGGCTAAGGCTTCTGGCTAGGAATCAGGGATACAAGCCTCCTCTGGGGAACCAATGCCCTGAAGTGTGAGGTAGCAGACCCTTGGGTCTTGGAGAATCATACACTCAGGATAGTTTTTTCAACTCAACTTAATCTTGATTAATTTCAAACCTATCAAAGCGTGACTGGAGTTATTTTCTCCCGCCCTTACAGGAAAGAATGTAATAATCAAACATTGTGGCTACGTCGACAACATACGGTATACAGTTACCGTAGGCCATAGAGTTAAGAGAGGGTATAGACCAGAATGCCTCAAAGCAGAAATACAGCTTGGGGTGGAAGATGGGAGGGGAGCAGCTCTTTACCATCAGTGCTTAGGTTTTTCATTACTTTTAAGGGCAATTTGTTATTTTGGTAGACTAACGTGAAAATAAATTAAAGGAAGCAGAAAGAAAGACCGTGAGACAGTGGTGGAAGGTGTACAAGGATGATGCTCACTCTCCCACCTCCCAGTGCACAGGCCTTCCCTCTGCCTCACGGGACAAACGCTGCTTTATAGTTATCACCATGTGATTCCAGAGCTGCTGCTTTTTACCAACACTAGGGCTGGACATCCTTGGGGGCCCATAACCCTCTCTGTGTGAAGGATGAAGCACAACCCTCTTTCCTTACACAGTGAGCATGCCCACTCAGACCAGGAAGTGGGTGGGAAAGGCTCAAAATCAAGGTCGACCAACTGCTGAAAATTATATTCTGGTCAGCATGCTGCTGGAAATGGCTGACAATCAGGCAGAAATTCTGAGGCATCAACAGGTCAGAGATCCAAATAGGAATTCATTTAAAAGACACAAATCGCACTTAGAAGAGGGACCAAAATTGGCAGCATAGCCACTGTCAGAATCCCTGACTTGTTGGGCTTTATAAACAAGCCAGCTCTCCACC